CGGCCCATCGGCAGCAGCAGCAATCAGTGACGGAGGTCTGCGGGCATTTTTTTTGTTGAATGGACGAGATGTGTGTTCGCATATGAAGTAATAATCATTCATCAAGCAGCTTCTGCTACTTCTTTAACTTCCTTTTCGACGCAGTTTCAGTGAGTTCGATAGCGCTACTGATGACAACTGGCAGAAACGACGATCCCGCACAAAGCGGCGCAGATCAATACACTGAGCGTAGTCGCCTCTTAATCACTTGCTTCCCCCAACGGAAGTTGTTAGCAGTTTTTGTGGGTTAGATGTTGATAACGCAAACAGCTTGCTATTTCGTAAACCTCCCGGCACTTAGATATTCTCAACAAATTGCGCCACCTTTACAGTTGTTTCCACTAAACGCTACGCTGATATAAAAGATGAGCATATAAATGCAGTCATAGCTATTAGGATCCTATCTGAAAGAAAGACAAGTTCTTTTTTTTCTATGTTGAAGGGAATCGGCATGCGGAGGTTGATTATAGTTGGTTCTTAAGAAGATAGAATATATTTTGACTCATGGGCTTTGCGGTGGCGTAGCATCAGGTCGTACTACAGGGATGTTCGCCGAGTAACATTTGTTTCATTGAGGAATAGGCTAAACCGGAAAGTCTAGTTCATGATCAGTTGTTTGCTTGTTTGTTCTAAGATTTCTATGCATTACCTTGGAGAATGTATCACGACAGTGAAGGACGAAAATGTATAAGTACAAAATGTAGTTTTCCTTTTTCAGATGTGAACCTACTCATCAATTTCTAATTAATGCTGGGTTTCTTGCTGCTTCCATCTCAGCTCAGATTTCGCAGAAGGATCGCGATAGTGTTATCGAAAAATTGAGGCAAAATAAATTGAAAGTTCTTGTTTCAACGGACCTGGTAAGTACAGGTTCACACCAAGTTAACTGGTACCCTTACCTTTTCTCTTTAGATAGCACGTGGAATAGATGCATCAAATGTCAATCTGGTCGTTAATCTTGAAACAGCAATCAATGCAGAGACATATTTTCATCGAATTGGAAGAGCAGCGCGATACGGTGCGATTTCGATGTGCGTGATTTACCCTATTTCAAAATTTAACAAATATTTATCGACTTTCGCAGGTGGTTATGGAGCAGCGGTCACCATAATTGCTGACTCGCGTGAATTTAATCGCTTTAAAGCAATGGTGGCAAGAGGTGGGGTCAGCGTCCGAATGATGGACTTAGATGACATCCCGGCAAATCTGACCACGAATCAGTCTTACTTTCAACGTTGTCCCGTATTCTCACCTTCCCAGGTAAACACTTGGATCATCTTGCGTCAAATTTGATCCTCACTTTCCATTTACATAAGTGCAGGCAAACCGGTTGTACAGTATACTAGATCTCTAGGTTCTTCATTCTTGGAGGTACTCAAAAAACCAGAATTGTAGCAGTAGATTCGATAGTAGAATTATTACTCCACAAAGCTATGCTCGTCCTAACCATTTGATTAATAATGCGGAAGTTATCAAGAAATGATGCATGCAAAAAAAGATTTTGTTACTTTCTCTTCTCGCCGATTGGAAATTATATCCATTTCCACGACGCCTTATCGTGGAATTAAGGGCCACGGAGGATGAAACTTTCTTAGCTGCCTGGAGCTTTTCTTTCTGTGCCGAGTTTTTGGGTGGACTTACATATCAAATCTCAGTAGATACTTATAGGCAAGTTTATGATCTGGACAGTCTAGCGGAATCGGAAGTTATGGGATTTGGGTTTAGGGTCGAAAATCTCTTCTTTCCTTCTGTCGATCCGCTGACAACTTCTGAAATAGTTGCAATCATATTGACTAAAATCTAAAAGGAGGGACTTTTCTTTAATTTTTCGTCAATCATATTTACACTAAAATTATTCTGCGATGTATTAACATTTATATTTTTCCTCATTTGAGCACAGAGGAAATGCGTCACGTATGCTTCAAGGCTGGACGATCATTAATTAATTCTGAAAAATCGAGGTCTGTTAACACTTATCACGAATACTCTGCTTGCAGGCTGACAACTTCAACTTTCATCCGAGAAAGGATAATGAGAACAATTTGAATCATAAGTCGAAGTTATCTCCTGAGCGTGACACCTTTCCAGATAGAAATGGTTCTCCCTCAAATAAGTGCGCAATTCTCCTTATCTATATGTTATAGTAGCTTCAATTCCTCATTAATGATGTTTATTTAGCACTGTCTACAATCGACAAACTCTCATGGAAATAGCAGGATCCAACAATCATACGTTAGATCCATCTCTGTTGGATCATTTCAAAAAAATCGAAGTAAGCGCGAATAGCTCACGAGTTTACCATATTGTGTATTAAGTTGATGGGGTTTCAGATTAGCCGAGATCTGTCATCAGCGAAAACCGATTACGAAAATGAAGCGGCTGAGCTAGATCGTCAACTTTCGATACAGAAGAACAGTGTACCAGCTTCCCAAACGTTACATCCTCTCAAGTATAAGTATGTTAAGGGCTGTTCTATGTTACAATGCTCTTCAGTGTTCTGCGAACTTCAGGTTTATACCATCCCGTGATAAGGCCAGGAAGAAGTTTTATCTGCGTGGAGAGCTATTATCTATCAGAGATGCTATGCCGAAGGAGTCGTGGAGAACATACGCTTTATCTAAGTGAGTTACAAATGTTAGCTTACCATAACTTTTCAGGGGTTCTCGCCTGCTATCTAATCTCCAGTACTTTTTTGGAAACTTAATGTTGAGATTAGCTGCGGCAGAACGCTT